TTCTTTTTAAGTCGAATGAAATAATTGTGTTGCTGGTGAAAAAAAAAATCTCTGGGAAGAAAAAGACTTCTAGAAATTTGTTCCTCTCATGTCCTAACTTTACAATGACTTTCTAGTCTGTAGGATTTCGTCACCAAAAGATGGGCAAACTTGGCTATGCTTTGGATGAATGGCACATATATCCTGGTGTGCCTGTCATGGCACAATCAGAGAAAGCTTCTTCTTCATCCTGTTCTTTGAATCTGAAACCCATGTGTACATTAAGGAGAATGTGAGTCGTATGTTCAGGATTCGTTTACACTTAACTCGTTGACCTCTGTTTTCCAGAAAGCATGCTTGGTGTCCAAATTATTCACTAAATCCTTTCTGAATAATCTTTAAGCCCTCATTTTATTTGCATAAAAACTTCAAATTTGACTTGAAAGGAAATGGGATTTGAACCCAAAAAAAACTTGTTAGTTTGGACGTGAGATGGAACTTCTCAGGCTCACGGGGGAGTCTAAAAGAGAAAGAAAAAAGTACATCGACTTTATTTTTCTACCTGTCTGGGCTTAATGGGCAATTTCATGCAAGAGTCTCCAGGAAAAACACAGATTAACTACCAGGTAAGTATTTATTTCATAGGAGGAATGCTGAGCTGGAACTGGGCGGTTTCAGAAGTTGTCCATGGGCTAGGAGAGGGAGCCTGTGTTCATTTGGTCTCGGCACCATCTCTATGCTTGAACAGGAAAGAGGGTCACATCCATCCACTTAGGCCAACGACGGCGTGCTAAGGAGGAGCAACAGAGGGCGCCCACACCTGGGTAAATCCTGGTTATGCGTTTCTGAGCATGGAGATTTCCTGTGGGCAGGGGGTCGTGGCTTTGGGGTTTTACCAAGGCCGTGGAGATTTTAGAAAGGAGAACTCAGTTTCTGATGCTCCACTCTCCGCCTTAATAAGTTTCCACAGTAAATCAATCATAATCGGCCTGTTCTACCGTCCCACCTAGGAGATTTTAAAATCCAGTCCAGATACGTGGAGTGGCAATTATGCGTAAATACTGGGCTGGATTTGTATGTGCAGCTACCTGTGCCAAATGATACTAACTGATGATCCAGTTTGGCCATTTACAGAAAGCTCAGTAGCTTTGAGTTTCACTTTTTACCTGTAGATTGCTCGTTAAATATTCCCTACTGGTGCCGGACAATTCAATATTCTGTCACTTTTATTTTAAATAAATGCTGATTGGCCGATAGCCAGGCAGGAAGTATAGGTGGGAAAACCAGACAGGAAGTAGAGGTGGGGCAATGAGAAAGGAGTATTCTGGAAAGAAGGAAGCTCTTTCCTCAGTCCTGCCCAGATCACGGAAGAAGCAGGATGTCGCCTGTCCTGCTGAAAAAGGTACTGAGCCATGCGGCTAGCATAGATAAGGATGATGGGTTAATATAAGTTATAAGAGCTAATACGAAGTCTGAGCTAATGGGCCAATCAGTTTATAACTTATGGAGACCTCTGTGTGATTTTCTTTAGGACTTGCCGGCTGTGGGAACTGGGCAGGACATAAACCCCCAACAGCCGGCCCTCATGTTACACCCTACCCTCAGCTGTATTGTATTGCTTGGTCCCGGACCCTATCAGGGGTCAGAGGAAAAGTTTGTGCCAAGACTCACGATAGCAGAGATGGAGTTGCATCTACTTGTAACAAAGATTCCATGAGTGGAGTGTATGGTATGCAAGCCAGTACCCGATGCCAGAATTAAAGAACCGTGGATTGATGCAGTACCAAGGAATCTCCACATTCCTACCTTTCTGAAACCAGGCTGCATCTGCAATAGAAGGTGCAGGATGAGCCCTGCATTCCCAGGTGGCAGTGGGGTGGGATAATGGCCATTCCCTGCCTGGGTGTATATATCAGAAACTCCAGCACTGAATGGAGCAAGGAGGTTGTTAATGCCTTAGGAAAAAGAGCCAGGAACCAAAACGAGAGGGCCCACATGCTTTAATCATTAGGAACCACACAGGTGTGGGCAGGGGCTGGGGGAGATGACAAAGTAGATGTGGTGAGCGACATTCCTGAAGTCTAGTCATGAGCAGGAGAGCTCTTGACAACCTTGGAGCAGGCTGAGGAGTCCAGCAATACAGTTGGCACTTCTTTATCTTAGCAGAGTCTTCTGTAGGCAGGGTAAGTGCCTCTGACTAAACAGCCCTTGGCTATTTTAGATTTCAATAACATCTCTTGGTCCAGTACCAGAAATGAAAGCCCTTGGCATCAGTGATTTAGAGGGAACAGAGTGAGTAAGTAAAATTTTTAGGAATGTGAGAATGACTATTAGATGCCTACATCTTATTTGCGTCTATGTCCATGAGCATATACATAGACATATGCACATGTACGCATAGGGATTAGACAACTGGTATACCCGGGTTTGAAAGCAGTCTTTCAATAAGCACATGGAAATGTGGCAAGCAAGTGCAGTCGGTTTCTTTGGCAGTGCCTTTTCACCTTCTTTGCTTTTCTCCTGAATGATATGTTAAGTCAAAAAAAAATTGATCTATAGTTCATGAAGTCTTAGATTTACAAGATCTAGAGTTACTTTGGCAAGGATTAGGTGCTTGCTGTATAAAACAAAGGAACTAGGGAGGGCTCAGACACAGAGTATGGAGTCATAGAATCTTTATTAGAAGTCTGGAGCGTGGTAAAACGAACCCTGTGGCATCTGACACTTCCCACCCCACCAAGCTTGCTTCTGGTCTTGCTTCAAAGATCCTTTTCACACTCTGGCCTTACTCAGAGTCAGGGCACATAACCCTCACATTTGGGTTGTTCTCCCCACTTGGCCAGCAGTAGTAGATGTCATAGGTGCCGGATAATGTGTTCAGTTCCCCTCCCCTCACTAACCATGTGAAGAATTCAACTCGTGAGTCAGCCGTGGCTGGGTGATTTGCTTTGACTAATGAGCCCCCAGGGAAGCAATGACTTATGGGAGAGGGAAAGAAGTTCAGAGACAGCATTCTCTGACCTCCCCTGCCCTCCACTGGCAGCAAAGCCCGTGTGAAGATGAGATTTGAGGACAGGTGAAATACCATGGGATGCTAAGAAAACACACGGACAACAGCTGCCCTGAACGATGTTCTGGAACAGCCACGTGCTGCTTCTGTTTGATGAATATACTTTTATGGTTTGGGACATTGGGAAGAGCAACAGAGTTCAGGGAAGCTGATCTTGGCTCAATTCATGCAAAGCCAGACCTCATCTTGAGGGTCTTTTACCTTTCTCCCTTCCTCACCTTTCTCTCAGAAAAGAAAAATGTAATATATTGCATCTGTCTCACATGAGTGACAGAAAGAGAAATATGCGTGTAAGAGCTTGGAGCAAGACATTGTACATAGAGATTCTTCATCGGAAAAATGTTTAATTAATTGAGCAAATGGTGCCACTCTGGGAAATGCATATCATGTATTTTGCTCAAATTCATCTCCCCTCCAGGACCCTCTCTTATATAATGCATTTGTACTGCTTAAGAAATCCTTCCCTGCTCAAATCCTTGCACAAGGTCCTCATAGCTTCTTCAACCCACAGTTCCTGGATCAATTAGAATTTTATATTTTTCGGTGTGCTGAGTTTATTGCAGACATCATGCAGGTACCATGTTTGCTTAGTGAACAGTTTTATCTCAGGAAGGCAACCCAAAGCCACAGACAGAAGATGTTCCTAAGTATTTAATGTAGGAATGGAAAGATGCTGAAAACTCAAACACGGGCTTCAATCTCCCGAGTGTTTTGACTCTGAGTTAGACAGAAAGTGGATGTGGTTTGGTTTCTGTGTACAGACACATCCTATAGGCCCCCATAAAGACACATGAGCAGGACCATCAGCCTTCCCACCGGAAAGCATTTCAGAGGATTGTAGCACAGTTTCTGAGAATTACCCACACGGATTAGGAACACAATGTACTGTTGCTGAGTTAATAAATTCAACCTGTCATGTTTAATCAACCTGAGGATGATGGCTACTTTGATGCACCTCAGTTCAAACTTCAACCTCCCTGGTCCAAAGCAGAAGTGAAGCCCCCATTTGTAGTGGCCCCACAGTCATGGTATCTAACTAACACTGTTGACAGATGACAACTAAAACCTTCATGGATGGAGTCTCCTTCAGCAGCTGTGGCTCCACACTTGGCTAAACCTTTGCCACAAAGGGTCTTACTGTGTTCTTTGAACAATAATATCCTACATTTTTATAGTGCCCTATAGCTAAGAAGCTCTAGACATTTTCAGTAACGTTAAAAGAAAGGCCAGTTCATTTGCTGTGCCACGGGGATCAAACTAAAAGTGAATGGTGGGACTTCATCGTACAATGGGTGGTTCCTGCTGAAAAGGCCTGTCTCTCAGTACTCCTGGCTGGAAATCATCCTTCATAGATGCAAAACCCAGGGCTGTATAAAACCCTCAAGATATCTTAATTCTCAGAGCCCACATCCCACTGCCTAAGAATCTCAGGGGGTGAGTGGAGAGACTACAACACATTTTTGCATTGGAATTTTGAATTATTTGAAGTTCAGTCAAATATTTACATGACAGGAAACTAATTTTCTTATTTGAGCAACCGAAAACTTGTGCTTGGAAATGTGTGAAAATGTGTCTCCCTTAGGATTCTATTTTTACTTCAAGTATATGATTGAATCCATATAAATATTATATAATTTGTAATATGTTTTTATATTTTTATACTATACACACATATGTATGCGTATGCACATCTATGTCTTACTTCGGGCTTTTCTCGACGTTGTTTAGAATGGTTAGAATTCATGGGGTCGTAACCCAGTTTGTTGTTTCTCCGTTTTCAATTACAAGGATCTAATGGATAAGGCAGAAGATTCAAAGCCAAACCTACATTAGCAACGTAAGGTGAGAATTAATGCAGTTATCACAGTAATTAAGGAGACTGGGCAAGCATCTTCCAGCTTAAATGTCTAACTAAGTTGAGGAAAATTGATGTGGGAGTGTCATATATCAATCTGTTGATTTCATTGGCTGAGCAATAAAAGAAACTGCTTGGCTGGCCCTCAGCTTGGAACATAGATGGGAGGAGTAAACAGAATAGAATTCTGGGCGGAAGAGGAAGTGAGGTCAGACTCTGCTCTGCTTCCGGAGAGACCCGACAGCTCTGCTGGAGCAGAGACGCCATGCTCAGCTCTCCCAGGCAGCTGCAACCCACGATGGACTTAGGCTAGAATCTTCCCGGTAAGCGCACCTTGGGGTGCTTACACACATCATTAGAAATGGGCTAGTCCAGGTGCGAGAATTAGCCTGTAAGGGCTAGAGTTCATGGGCCAAGCAGTTCTTAAATGAATACAGTTTGTGTGTTGTTATTTCGGGCATGAGCTAGCCAAGCGGCCGGGGTGTTGGGGACGCAGCCCCGCCGCTCCTATTTCAACAGATGGCGCCCAGACGTGTGGCTAACTGAATCCACAAAAAGCCTGAGAAAGCTTGGGAAAGAATGGAGTGAAGCATGTTTTCTTGGTAGCAGAAATTTCTTGGGTCTGCTCCGCTTGCTAGAGGCAAGCAAGCGCTCTCATCTAAGAGAGGCTTCCTGACTCAGCTTCAGCTGCAAAACCCTGCAGCTCATTAAGAGGTCCTGCCACGAAACACTTAAACGGTGTTGGTGAAAAGCTGAACGCATGCTTTTCGGTTTTCAGCCGTAGCAGGAAAAAAGCTGTGCTGTTTAAAAATGCCGGCTTTCTGGGCCGTCCTGCCAGGGCAAACTCTGACTGAGGCAGGAGGGCCAACTACCGAGAGAGGACTTGACTGTTGTCTGTTGTAGCTCGCTGGCTGGCAGGGACCTTGAAACGCCATAGAATTGTGGCTATAAACATGGCTACAGCCTGTATCTCCGCCATGAGGCTGGAAAGCTAAGGAATGGACTGGATCTAGCTGGCAAAGCCACGGCTTTAATCCTACTCATATTGCTCAGTAATTTAAAGGCTCGTGTGGTCAGAAAAAGAGAGATATACAGTAAAGAGATTCAAAGACAAAGAAAATGTTTAAATGATTTACAGTGTGTTAAAAATATATGCAAGCTAAAAGTTAAAAGTTCTTAAAAAAAAATAAGAAAAAGAGAAGTTGTGTGTGGTAGTACACGCCTTTAATCCCAACACTTGGGAGGCAGAGGGAGATTGACCTCTGTGACTTCAAGGTGTGGTAGCACACGCCTTTAATCCCAGTGCCTAGAAGGCAGAGACAAACAGATCTCTGTGAGTTCAAGGTGTGGTAGCAAACACCTTTAATCCCAATGCCTGGGAGGCAGAGACAGGCAGATCTCTGAGAGTTCAAGGAGAGCCTGGTCTACAGAGTTATTCCAGGTCAAAGAGATACAGAGAATATAAAAGTAAAAATAAACGAAATAGAGGTTAAAATAAAGCGTACAAAGATGGAAAATACACAGAGAATCTTGATACTGTATACTATTATGCTCTCTTTGAATTGTTTGAATGCTGAGGAAGGAGCAACAGCTGCCAAAAGATATTTGTTTATAAATGCTGCTGAACTAATCCAACGTAGAGATTTTGATGCCTTGACTTTGAAATTTGGATCTAAGGACATGATACTTTGGAAAGGAGTTTCTTTTTTTGTTTTCACAGAGGATGAGACCCTGTTCATTTCTTCTATTCCGATATGGTATGATGGACCACGCCCTCCTGAACGGTTGCTGTGAATACCTTCAGAAAATTGCTTCGCTCAACTGCCAACTGAGATGAAACTAGCACACAGGTTATACCATGAAAGACCTAATTAACGACGCCCCCATTCAGCAGGAAGCAGTTTGGAGAGAAAAAACTGCGCCCATGTTCCCAAATATGGTTTATAAATGTTCTTTTACATTTAAAGGGGGATATGATATAGATATGAATAATTTGCATTAGTATAGATTTTGCTTTATTGATAGAGATTTAAGGTCAATTTTGAATGTATATAGGTTGTTAATGAATAATCATTAATAGTAGTTAAGCTTGTAGTTATGTTAGTTAAGATTTTCTAGATGTGCATAGATATATTTTAGATAGGCATTCTTCATATCTTTCAAAGGCTAGAGAATATGGCATTTTACATGTTTTAATAACTTAGGACTTTTCATGACAATGAGACACTCTGCTCCTGGCAGCACCAATCTACTTCAAGAGGAAGATGGGCATCGAAGAGGATCCTTATGGAGTTTGATAGCCATTTGGGCAAGAAACTGCTCTTGCCTGGACTATTGCATAAACTGGACACAGAGAACCCGCAGAGAGAGGACTGCTGAACTTGCCTAAAGGTGAGATGATCTTTCGGGGTTCCTGATTCATGAAAGAGTCTGCAAGACATTCTTCAGGACAAGCAGATAGTGACTGCCTTTGAAATTTCCTGCTTTGTGGAAATGTCTGCTGGAAACTATGGGCCTGTAGGCCGAAGATGGATGCCCCAACGGTACAGAGGAACTTTGGGTGACTGTCCAGGCAGCGAGATGTCTCTGTCATTTCTAGAGTTTTGGATGTTAAGTTAAAGCCTTCTTTTTTTTTTTTTTTTTTTTTAACAGAAAAAGGGGAAGTGATGTGGGAGTGTCATATATCAATCTGTTGATTTCATTGGTTAAGTTATAATAAACCAACTGCTTGGCCTCAGCTTGGAACATAGATGGGAGGAGTAAACAGAATAGAATTCTGGGCGGAAGAGGAAGTGAGGTCAGACTCTGCTCTGCTCCCGGAGAGACCCGACAGCTCTGCTGGAGCAGAGACGCCATGCTCAGCTCTCCCAGGCAGCTGCAACCCACGATGGACTTAGGCTAGAATCTTTCCGGTAAGCGCACCTTGGGGTGCTTACACACATCATTAGAAATGGGCTAGACCAGGTGCGAGAATTAGCCTGTAAGGGCTAGAGTTCATGGGCCAAGCAGTTCTTTAAATGAATACAGTTTGTGTGTTGTTATTTCGGGCATAAGCTAGCCAAGCGGCCGGGGTGTTGGGGACGCAGCCCCGCCGCTTCTTATTTCAACAGAAAATGCCAGCCACAAGAAGGAAAAACTTTCACATGGTCTAAATAAAGGCTTCCTCTGGCCAGTTGGCTCAGATGTTCTAATCAATAGCCTATATTTGGCTGCTCCCCCTTTCAGCCAAGGTGCTGCAGAGGCTTCAAGCCACTAATAACTGATCATTTAATCACTTAGGCAAGTCTGTGATGGATGAACTGTAGAGCAGGGCAGGGAAGACCCTTTCTGGACAGTCTCCGGATCTGGGGAGCACACCCCTCACCTCCAGAGGGTTCTCTACCCTAGCGACAAAGTGGATCTTCCTGGAAGGCCCTGCCAGCTGCTCACAGGTGCTTTGCACACAACAGCTGCCCTGGGACACCTTCCAGTTTTTCTCAGATCACTTTGACAGGGTCTCTTTCACCAAGGAAGTTTCTGGCACTCACTGTCATGGCTTTTTCTGTCCCATCTCTGATGTCACTCCCAGAGAGGGCACCCCTAGGGCACGGCTGCTGTTTTCTTTGCCTCTGCATTTACTGCTGAGCTCACAAGTGCCTGTAGCTGCCTTTAAAAAAACAGCAAATGTGTTCTAATTTTAGTACATCTCGGCAATAATTGTTTTTATTTCCGTGGTAAGGAAAAGCGAAGGAAAAACAGCTTGGGTCTTAATAACCACCTTAGCCTGCAGCCTTCGACTTTATTCATGAGACTTTTTTTTTTTTTAAATCTTCTTTCTCCTTCTCCTTGCATCCTCAGTATCTTCTTGAAGGTAAAGCATTAAATTACCATTGCAAAGGTTATATATGTTTAGTTACAAAGAACCAGCTATGAATGCGTCTTCCAAGTGTGGCTTCCAGCAAAACACATTCCCACTCACTAGCCAGCAAGGCCAAAGTTGAATAAGGCTTCAGACATAGTGGAGCTCACAGACTCACCAACCACGTGACTCACACAGTGTACAAATCTCATGAAAGCGTGATGCGTATTTATTCTCTGAGGTATACCATGTGCTGGTATTTTGTTCTTACAGGGAAATGGTACTAATTATCCTTCAAGGTGAAATTACTTTTCATAAAACAAACCGGAAATTCAGTCCAATCCACACAATGTGTTTTATTAACGTACAGTTTAGGCACTAAGTATGGGCACAGTTCACTTTGCTATGGGAGGGCTCTCAGCCACGTCCCAGTTCCCATGGTCCTTTAAGTAAAAGGAAACGCTTGCAGGCTCACACAAAGAAAAGGTTTCCACGTGGGGCCTCAACTGTCTGGTAATGTCAAAACACTACAAAAATGTGTGTGTGTGTGTGTGTGTGTGTGTGAGAGAGAGAGAGAGAGAGAGAGAGAGAGAGAGAGAGAGAGAGTTTATGCATCACTGAAAGGACCTTGAAAAGGTAAAGTTGTCTAAGGAAAGTTGGAAATCATAAAAAGATATAATTGATAATTCAACCTTGACATGTGTAGGTGATTATGTGGGTAGCTACATAGCCAAAAACAGTTGCCGGATGTTCCAAGTTTGGAAGGGCATATATTGATCAACCTGTACATTCTGCTTTCTTCGTCTGTTCCCTGCTAATCACTGTCATACATTAACGTGACTTTTCCCACATGTGTGTATGCATGTACATGTAATGTATATATATATAATCGTATAAACACACACATATAATTTTTTTAACCAATTAGACTTTCAGATGTTAGGAAAGCTAATAGCGTTAATAGTTTATATTAGAAAACACATAAGGATTTCACTGGGGTTCTATGTTGGACTCAGAAATTAACCTTTGCTGAAAGTCTTCTCGACAGAAAACCCTTGCTGGAGGTCTGTTGGGCAGAGTCACACATTTCAGGGGCCCTTCAGTGTTGGGTTGAGCTGCAGCAGAGAGTCACAGCCCTGTGGAAGCCATGGGCAGAAACTGTTCCAGGTGAATCAGTGCAAGAATGAACAGCAGGCCAATTCAGACGGCCTGATGGTGTTCCGGTCAGCTATGAAGGCCGTAGAAACCAAGCTGAACTGAAGCCCCTGAGACAGCAGAGAGTTCCCTGCCTGTTTAACCCTTGACATGTGCGCGTTAGATGACATCACAATGCTACCTGTCCTCTGTCTGGAGTCCAGCTAAGGGAACTACACTCTTTCCTCAGTCCAGTGTGTTGCGTAAGTTCTCAGGTCTGCTTTTCCTTATGCGATTGTAATACGCTCCCTGCTCACGTGGCCCCGTTTTTCTTTGATGAGTTTGTAGAGA